AAAAAAAAAAAAAAAAAAAAAAAAAAAAAAAAAAATATATATATAAACGGGGTGGGGTGGGGGATTGTCCAATCACATTAGTTAGATGGTAAGATGTTCAATGATTTGCAATAATTCACAAAAGGGCCCCATATCCGATCAAATCTACTATGGTTTCCCTTTGCTATAAGACCAATCTTTTCCAATCTAAAAAATGACATTACTTCGCGAAACCACAGAGAAATTGAAGGGGTCTCAGATGATTTCCAAAGAAGTAGGATATGACGTCTGGTTAAAAGCGATGTAAAGGCCAAAAAAGTATATTTTAATCATAAAAATATAGGTCAAAAAACTGTGTTGTATGTAGTATCGGCAGCAATTTCATATTATCATCCATGAGCAGCGGTAACCAAGGGTAAATTCTTAGAAAAAAGCCACAATTGCCAAAGTAAGACTATTTTTGTTCTATGCTTTTTGAGGTAATAAAGATTTATTGATCGGCATGTAATACATAGTAGTATTTATATTTACATAGAAGTATTTGCTTTGGGAAGGAAACCTTATATGTTTAAAACCATTTCTTTATTTGTTAGCTTGTCTGTCTGCAATTTTAACCAATATGATTTGGTAAGGTAGATCTGCTATTTTCAAAAAGAATTGAGACACTTTTGTATAAAGTAGGGCATGAATTCATAAAAAAAGTTTATGTGAATTCTAAAAATCAAAGTTTTCTGTTCAACAGCAATAATGAATGACGGCAGCACGGTATCTCCAGCAATGGTAGTTTATAGGTTAGAGCAGTCAATCCAGTAAATAATCTGTTTGTTATTCATAATTGTAAAGGTTATCTATTTTATGAGTTGTAACATAAAACTAGACAAAAGAAGTTCTAGTCGACCAACACTACTCTATCACATATAGTAAGGACAAAAATGTGACTAAAATGAATAATAGTTTTCATCCTGAAGACAAAAACTAAGACTAAAGCCAAGATGGACGGCAAAAACAACACTGGAGCATCTTATTATTCTTATTGACCAAATACTTATTTCCCAGCATAATTTGCTGGGTTTGTTTATCCTGTGATGTGATTTCCTGGATCTGTTTTTCTCATTTTGTCTCGCATAGTTGAAATGCACCTATCATGAAAATTACAGAACTCTCATATGTTGGAAAACTGCCTATCAGTAGCTTATGAAATACTATTTTTTACTCTTATTTACCACCTGAACAGTTTCTTCTTTTACACTTTTTGTCTCACTAATGCTTTCATACGTTAAAGTAGGCTTTTACATCAGACCAAGATTAAATGATTAAATTGAAAAGGTTGAAAGGGCCTTGGTTTCTTCTGGGTCATACCAGTTTTTTGCTTCCTTTTCTAATCATAGCAATTTCATCCTTTCTTATTTTTGCATGATCGACCCTGACCTTGACTGAAGCCATTGAGGCCTGCAGTCCTTTAGACTCTTCTTTCTTTTACAACCTCCTGCATGAACGCATCGAAGCACTAAGCAGACTGGCCATTCCTGGAAAGGTTCTCTAGCCTTGTATGGTTTTTCTTAACATAAATATATAAAGGCTTTTAGTGTAGCTCAGTGAATGTTCAAAGCCTTAGCAATGGCTTTGTTCTCTTTTTCAAACTTATAGAGATATTTATCATCTTTTTGGGGCACGGTAGCTTTATTTTTGTCAACTTCACAGTGTCTGAAAAGGTTACACTCAAGTGATGTATTGATTTCACAGGTCTAGAAGTGATGGGGCCTGGGTGAGGTTAGTCAGCGAACCAAAAACATTTGGTTGACTGTTTTGTTATTTTAATATCAGCAGGTTCAACCTTCACATTAGATTGTCATTGTTATCATTTTTTCATTTCAAATATGTAAATGTGTGATGTACTGAAGTGTCACAAAAATATATAGAGAAGAAATCTATTAAAAAAGACAAAAATATTTTACATATTATCATAGATGAGGCTGCTCAGTGGAACAGTGGGTAGCACTGCTGCCTTGTAGCAATAAGGTTCTGGGTTCAATTCTCAGCCCGGGGTCTTTCTGCATGGAGTTTACACGCTATACCTGAGCATGCCTGGGTTCTCTCCGGGTACTCCAAAAACAGTCAAAAAACATGACTGTTAGGTTAATTGGCTGCTCTAAACTCTCGTTAGGTGTGAGTGTGTGCATTAATGGTTGTTTTTTCTGTTTGTCTCTGTGTTCCCCTGTGATAGACTGGCGTCCTGTCCAGGGTGTACCCCGCCTCTCGCTCCGTAGACAGCTGGAGACAGACCCCGCTTGGGATAAGCGTGATGGAAAATGGAAGAATAGATGGATTACCATAGATCATTCAGTTGGAAAAACTCTTGTGTTTTGCAACAAACTGTAAAGCATCCTTCAATTTCTTAAATCTGTGGTAACAAACAGAAAAATGCTAAACATGTCCAATGTTTAAAAAGCTCCATGCCCGCTTTTAATCTCACCAAAAAAAAAGAAAAGCTGGTTTTGGTGATATTTGAGAAAACAAAAAACAAAACAAAAAAACACTTAAAATGAAAAATAAATAAATAAAAAAAATGAAGCAAAAAAATTTTCTCTTTCTTACTATGCTAAAAGTTCCTTAAATTACCGTAACTGTTAAATCTGGGTCGTAACCTGGATCACCACTGAAATCTAACTGGTTAATTGGGCTACATAAGACAAATATAACTCTATACTAAGAACAACAGTGAGTGAGGAGGTTTCAGAATGCAGTTATTCTGAGTGTTATTTTTTAGAAAGGCTTCTGTGTGACAAATCTTAAGAACTGTCTCTAGATACAGGTGCAAACCTTTAAAGAAGGATTTAAAAGTACATTTTTAGAGAAGAATGCTAAAGCAAAGAGTGAATTTAGGCCAATGGGATCTGAGATATTTATCAGTTACCCTTGAATCTGTATTTACAATTATTACTATTTCTACTAACTCCAAGAGTAACAGAAGGAAGTTTGTTAAGAATAAAACTTTGATTGGGCTGAGTCCACATAACATAAAGGGAGCAGAGCCAAGGACATGCAACAAGCACCAAAACTCAAGAGCTTGGCAAAGAGTTCAGGAGGAAGAAAAGAAAAAAAATGTAGCTCCTTCGCCTCACAGAAATCTAATGAATGACAGGTGCATCAAAGAGCATGAGACACAACAATCGGGTTGCTAAACATTCATAAATACTTCATAAATATATGGAATAATTACATCTGCGTATTTAAAATATTCAGTGTCCAAATTGAATCAAATCATATTGAAATAATCCAATAAATAATTTGTTACAATAATAAATAATTATACCAGCACTCAGTTGCTTTACAGACCCTAAGTTGCAGGGCAGCATAACATTATTTTCTCTGTCGCTGGGCCTTGTCAAATAGACACAAATATCTGCGAGGTCAAGCTGAGCGGCATATCTACTCAAGAGTAATTAAGTTGTCTACAGCAGTAACAGCTCCGCCAAGGGGATGTCATGGATGGAGCCCACAGAAAATTTAAATCATGATGTGTCAGAGGAGAAAATAACTAAAAATGTCGCACTTAAATAAACCCTTTTATTTTAAGACATACTCAAAATAGCTATCTTTTATCATTTCACTAAAGCAACGATACATTTATATTATTTGATGGTGGCTTTATATATATAGTGGGGCAGTCAGTGGGTAGCACCAATACTGCTGTAGTTAAAGGTGATGTGTTGAAAATTATCTGTGCCAGTAGAGTTTTTTGATCTGAGGAATATATAAATATATAAATTACCCAAGTTGCAGTGATAGAGGTGGACCAGAAAATATGAGGATTTTATTTTTTTTATTGTGATCCAAAGAAGTTTTCAAAAGCTTAATTATTTGTAAAATAATACTCATGAAATGCAACGTTTCTTCATGAAGGGAAAACACGCGTTTCACCTGTGCCCCTACATTAACACTTTTATAACATTACATTATACATTTTTAAGGAACCTTAGAAGGCTGATTATCCAGACTTTCTAATTACATATAAGCCATGTGAATGCAGTATGTGTCACCCAGTGTTGGCACTGCAAGAAGGTAAAGCCATAAAACCATGCCTCCCCAATAAAACTGTAGGTGCTTTATTCTGTGTTAAATTAAAAGCCTATTTCGATGTTTTTTCTTAAAAAAAGTTTCACCAACTCCTCCAAATGTAAATACTTTGATCAAGCCTGAACTCAATCATTTTTACACAGAACAAAGATTCATAACCTTTAAATACATAAAAACATTTTATATACAATTATTTTTATTAATATTTTATTTTTGATAATGTCAAAAATATTACTTAAGCCAATATTTCATGTTTGAAAAAAAAAAAAATCAACATGTATATAATTTATCCAGATAACCAGTCAGATATGTGAGTCTAACTAAGTGGATTAGGGTGGAAGATTTGATTAATTTATGATAACAGCAATAGGACTGTATTCAATCTTTCTTTTCCTTAGAGTTTTCATTTGAAAGAAAAGATTAGCTTACTGCTTCTGCTGCACAGTTAGACACAATAAGGCTTTTCAGGGGGTCATCAGGTACCCTCTGCTGGCCGTGCGTGATCAGTAGATTTCCCATAGAATGAAAAAAAACAGGAGGAAAAAAACAACTGTCCCCAGGAACTAACTCACCCAAATGGTCTGTGTTTGAACTGTTGCTCTTGTGCAGACAGTTCAGCTCCATTAGAGGCAGAACAAACACACTCAAGAGCAGTTTCTATGCTAATGCAAAGACAACTCCAATTTGATTTTAGGCAGTTCAAAGACTGTTAATATGTGGCGACTGCTTTCTCATAAGACTTGGTATTTATAATTTTCTAAATGTATTATCTTAAAAATAGTTGCATTTTTAATGATACATAACTATTGCGAAAAAGTGCATAAATATGAAGCTCATAGTGATACACCTAAGAAAAGCCGTCCATGAGGAAACACCACTTAACATAATCACACAACTATTTAAAACCCTTGATGTTTCTAACCGGAGTCTAGCTAGAATGTAATTGAGCTCTGTGAACTTTCTCTCTGTTCATAGAATAGAGAAAATTATGTTACTTCCCGCTGGAACATCTTGTGCTTGCCTCGATGAGACAGTTAGATAGCAAGGAGAAAAAGAAGCAGCAGTAGTGCACACCACGTCTCACCATTATCTGATCACACCAGCAGAAATGTGACACCGGAACAACAGCCAGAGGGCTCAACAACACCTAAATGACCAGTTTCCTGAGCTTAGCTCGTACATCTAATTCCTACTTTAATGTTTCTCCCACCTCCTTAGTTTGCTTTAATCGAAAAGCTGCTTTAGCAGTAAAATGTGATGTATGACCAAGTGGTCAAAGGTGACTTGCTGCCTCATTTTTTTAGATCAAAGGATTAAAAGAATAGAAAAAAAAAACTTTATTAATTCCAAAGGGAAATTAATGTTGTAACTCATGTTTTTTTTTTATTCCCAATGAGTTATTATACTTCTTGTTATATCTTCTGTAGCGGTCAGTCTTGCACCGAAACTGGAAAAGTCTTTGACTGAGGACATTCTTTTGTTATTCAACAGGCGTCTAAAAATATTTCTCACATTTGTCCATAACGTTTCTCGTTTTATGAAGAATTCTTCTTTGTAAAATCATTTCCATAGATTCTAGATGTTTACTTTGAACAGAACCAGCCTTCTTTATCCCCTTGTTGCTTCTTAAAGTAATTTATTCTGATACCGTTACGCATGCAGATAATAGCAGAAGAGATCACCACCACAGCCTTATAATATGTAAAATCTTGCCATAAACGCTGAAGGGCGTCGTTTTTAGAGGGAAATTCTTCTCTTCTTGTACTGTAGATGGCTTCAGCTATAAAGAGTATTCTTGATAACACTGATATTATTTATCAAAATATTACCTCTACTAATCTCCAACCCATTAATGTTGTATATAATAGTCTGTGCAGCTTTTTTCTCCATTTTCTTTACAGGACTCACCATTGTTTGTTGCTTCAACAACTGTCTTGGCTCACTCCATCTTCCAGATGACAATTTCACTGGTTATTATTTATATTTAGTGTATTTATCTTAGTTACCCTGACTATTCAAAACAATTCTTTATCCAGTTTTCCTCTACATATATGGAAAATTCTCTTTCAAATGTAAAGCACCCTTTGACTTGAAAAATTCCCATCCTCCTTCCGCTTCATAACCTCTGTTATGTGTTTAAAGATGTTAATGTTCCGTCTCAAGGGGTTTCGCCTTGGAAATAAATAAAGTCACGTCAACGGTAGAGTTAATGTGCAGGTGTTTTGTCCAGGTAAGTATTTATACTCTTCCACCACCTCTGCTGTGATGACTGTTTACACACCATGCCGCTAAGTGTTTTATCATCCCAGTATTTCACCAGACGATGGGACTGTCTTGTTCTGGGAGTCATAGGTGTACAGAGTAAAAGAAGTGTGCCTTCTTCACACCTTGTAATATTTTGCTCACAAGGCTGTCACTTCTGCAATTTATTTATTTTGCTTTTGTTATTATCCAAATATTAAGGTTAAAAGATTGGCTTATTGTAGGAGCTTGATTTTCTTTACTGAGCTCTTGTTTTATACTGTGGTCCTCTCAATTTGTCAAAGTTAAATCCACTGATACTTGACCCAATTATGGGAGGGTGGTATAAAGTGGTACAATTATTTTTGTAAAAGTCAAAGGAGAAAAACCACACAAAAGAAACAGAGGGAGTAAACAGAACATATGGAATGACTGACATGGTGCATTATAGTAGCCGGACTATATAATGGTTGCTAAGCCGTAGTGTTCTGTTGCTTACAGAGACTCAGTGGCCACCACCCTCTGCGCCAGTCCATACAGAGTACCGCTGTCTGTGAGAACAACCATCTGGCTCAGGTGAGGAATAGGGACCTTCTCCTTCCTGTCCTCTGGTGGACCATGGACTCCTACTGTCTCCCCGACAGGATCCTGGAACAAAACAAAGAAGTTCAAATTGGAAAAAATTAGAACAAACCCCCCAAAATAAATAGATATGAAAATATAAAACAAGAAATTATTAACTACATGAAACCTAGTTGGTCAAAGTTGCTGACTCAAGTCATCCTTTATTAATAATTATTTTGTGACACTGGTTCATTTGAAAGTAGTCTGATAGGAAAAAGGCTATGGAGAGAAAGGAAAGAAATGCAGCAGAGAACTCTATGGGAAGAGACTCGAACCAGAGGCACTGCATCCAAGACCGAGGCCTTCAGAAATGAATTGCTCAGCCTACTCTTGCGCCGCAACCACACCTTATATGTGCAACAGAGTAATTAGTACAAGGAATTCTTTTTAACATGCTCTTACTCTCACTTGCAAATTCCAATAGTCTTACTAATCTGATTTTGAGATTATATTCTATAGGGATCATCCAATCTCCCTTGGATAGTATCATACTGTAATTACTTTTTTATCCTAAAACTTTAAGCCATAAGAGTGTGCAGCCTTTGAAGCCATTATCTACTGATTAAGTGTGTGTATGTTTGCAGATCAGGATAATGATAAGAAATGGTAATAATAATGATCTCACATGTAAAATAATTCAATATTTTTGTGGTCAGTTGTTTAAAATAGACTTTTTATTGACTGTGTTTCTGATTCTGATGTAAGTTGAAGCTTATGAAATATACAATTACAACTCCTTATTAAACCAAAATACCTACCTGTGGCTAATATATTTTACTACAGCCTCCTAACCATATTTAAAAACTATGCTGGTTATAAAAAACAACTTTAAACTCACAGTCTAGACTGATAAGAACTAATAAAAATTCAGTAGAAATCAGTTTTATTAATTTATTTGTCATTATGTTATATTCATCGTGTTTACAGTTAATCAGGATTTTTTGGTATTTGAAAAACATTTCTTCTGCTATTTTGTACCCTTGGAACATTTTTTTATGATACCCAACTGTAGCAGTCAGTTTTTGTTTTTTACTAATAACTGATAGCAGATGATTAACATCTAAGAAGCTGAAATAATACATTAAGTAAAGTCCCATGTATGAGATAAGAAAGGAGAAGAGAGGAAGGACAGAAAAGCCATAAAGCTATATGCATAAATTAATATGGACGATGTGAGACTTTAAGCAAAAAAGCTGGATGAATTCAAAACCGTAATAAGGATCATTTTAGGAGTGTTTTACTGAAACAAGGCTACAGGATCATATCACCAACTCAGGCAAGTGTCTGCCTGCCTCTCTGACCACACAAGAAACAGAAATTTAAAGAAGGATGGCAAGATGAAGGAGATTGGTTAGGCTTACTTGTAAAAAAAAACAACTATTTATGTTGTCAAAGACATGTTATAGAAAATTTAGCTTTTGTTTTCCTGAAAATCAACGTTTTTTTTTAAAGGAAAGGTCGGGTCACATTCAGAATACAAACTTCTGAAAGTACTTTAAGTATGAAATTATTACATACAATTCAATAAATAAGTGTTTTTGAGAGTAATTTTCTTTAATGTGCTTTACCGGAGACAACAATGTTTGTCAAAAAGCAATACTGCCACCTACCGGCTTGTGATGTCATGACGCTGTATCGGCTGTTGAGCAGGTCCCAGTGCTATATCTGGTGTTTGTCACAAAGAATTGTGACGTAATCGTGATGAAACATTTTTTTTTTCTATTTTACTGATTAATGCTAAATTTATCAAATTACCACAAACGTATTAGTTTTAGCTATAAATAATGATTCATTGGTTATTCTTTGATGACCGGGCTTTTCCTTTAAGGAACAAAAGGAACTGTCTGCTACAAGAAACCTAATATTAGCCAAGAATAAATTTGTAGCCACAGTCAGATAATATTGTACCCGCCATGAATCGAATGATTTAAATTTATCTTCTAAAAAATCCAAATAAATTCTTGTAAAGGAAATAGGAAAAATTTGACTCCAATAAATCAAGAACCAGGAGTTCTCTTTAACTTAATGTGTTATGATTAAGACTCCCTATTCATCAATGACCAATAAAAACCTCAACTGATAGGAATGGGCACGGAATAAGAAACTAAAAAATAGAAGACAACTTTAAATTTCATTGTATATGACTTGTTTTTTTTATAACTCCATGACAATTATATTGACATTTAGTTAGAAAATAGTGCTAACAGCTTGTTTATGGGTAAGAAATAAAGTGGGAGAGGAAGGCCAGTGAATGACATTTTCCTTTTTTACAATAAAACTACAAAAACATTTAAAGCTACACTCCCTTTTAAAAAAAATTTCTATGAAGTAATATGTACTGTAATTCTTCTAGGCTTAATTAAAGAGACCAGCGTTATATTTTAAGTAAGTCTTTGGAAAGTTCAATAAAATTATATAATATGCAGAAATATGCACCACTATAAAAAAAATGCAAATTTCTATTGGAAATGAGAAACTGTTTCATGGAAAAAAAGAATCAAGCTCATAACCAGGGGTTCCTTCAGATCTATGTTTGGTTATTTCATGTGTAACTAGGGTGCATTTAGATTTTAAATATGTTTGGGAGTCATCTAGTCACAGAAAAGTTACAAAGAGCTGTTATGCTGTATTTATGTCTGTTTACTTCAGTTTACTAACACTTTGCTGGAGTCTAATAAGGTTTAGACATCTGGCTGCTAAAAAGACAGATAGACAAGATATTTGGACATAATCCTGTAGATGAGAGTAAACCTGTCACTTAATATAGAAACGAGGAATGATTTGAAGAATTTGCTGAATAACCATAAGGCTAAACTCATTCCGAGTCATTTGTTCAGCTGGAGTCAACAAATGAATGTAAACTTGGAATTGTTAGAACTATGATGACACGGACATTGACCAGAGCAAAAAAAAAACCTTCTGTTTTTATCCCCTTAGTGAACCTTCGATAACAACAATCTAAAGGCTTGTATACAAAAATGTTACTAAATTAAATCAGCCTTGTGGGCCTTGCAGGCAAACCAAATACACACAATGTAAAAGTCTGCTAACCAAACATCCACTCAAGTGATCAAATTCATCCTCCGCTTGGATACCTTTCAAAACATCTCTTATTCAACAAGCTTTCCATCCCTTTTATGAAAAAAAAAACATCTGAAACAGAAAAGAAGTAAGAAAACAAGACTAAGTCTCTTCCCATCAATCACTATTATCCACATCTGCAGAAAGAAGCTGTTAAGAATCCATAAGATATACAGATCATCATAGTATATCTATAATGCACGTCTTGGTGGTGTAATGCATCATACTGGCATATATAGTATAACAATTTGACACCGTGGCTGCTGGAAGGCAAGCCCTTGACATCTCCATAGCAATCCTACAGCTATAGTTAATTAATAATAATGTATTAAGTGCTATATTGCTCACTGACATATTGTGATGCTGTCCGGTATAATTGTGTATCTGAGATAAACTCTGAAAGGCTTTTATAGCTGAGCCAGTGCCAAGCATGAAATGCAAAAGGAAGGAGAGAGTTATATTATTTAGCCATGTAAACATGAAATACATTTATGTAAACAAATTATTAGCTTACTATAATTATCAATAGAATAGAAAATATTAGTACTATCTGCAAATATCAGTTTTGATGTATTTTATAGCTAGAATATCTAATTTATATGTATATTATACAATTTGGGGCATAATACAGAGCCCTGAGAAAAACCACAAGCCATGATGATGAAAACTGATCTGAACACTCCAACATGCAGAGAGTTTGCTAACCCATAAATAACTTTGAATGCAGTTGAAAGGTGGTGTTGTGTTTCTCTGTTTTGTTAAACAATGTTGAGTGTTTGAGGGTTATCCAATGCTTTGTTTAAGCCTTGCTTCTAGTACAGCCACCAATATCAAAGTTTTGACCTAAACCCATACTGTCCAAAATCAATTAAATTATGTTTGACTGGAAATTATTCTAAATTCTTATCAGAGTTTTTCTAAAATTTTAGAAAATGGAGGCTCCAGTCTGTAATGACTAATGATAACTGAGGTATCATTAGTTTAAGGTTGTGGTTCAACTGTATCATTTATTTAACTACCAGCTTTTATCTTTATTTACTTTTATTCTGCTTTTACTTTTTTATTATTTCATTTAACATAAATCACTTTGAATTATCCTTGTACTTTGTGTAGTAGAAATTATTTTGCGAGTTTCAGTTAATCTGGAAAGATTCCAATTTGAAATGAGATATTGCATTTATAAGTTAAGGGTTTTATTTAATAACATTTTCATAAATTTAAAATCTATTTTTAGGGGAGTGGTGGTCGTTAGGGCATAGAGCTTGGAATCCTGAGGTTGTGAGTTCGAGCCCCACTCCCACAGACTGCCACTCTGGGTCTCTGAGCAAGACCCTTAACCCCACACTGCTCCCCGGGGATCCCCATGGTGGCAGCCCACTGCTCCCCAATGGGATGGGTAGAGAGGTATAAAAAATCATTACAAATCATGCTAGCAGGCCATGTGGTACAGTAACTCTGTCATAAGATTGCAATACTCAGGTCAGAACCTGGTAAGAATACTTAATTACCAAATGAATAACTCTGAAATTACTTTGAATGAACAGGTACTGTATAAATAAAATGTTTAAAACAAGTAATTGTGAGTTATTTGATATTACTATGTAATTTGAAAATACAGTAGTGACTAGGCAGATTAGGCTAGTGATGCAAAAGGGAAATGTGCGCCACTCGAATAACGAGGGACAAAAACTCAAAAATAATTATTTAGTAATAACATCAGAATCCTTTAGTTAGGAACAATTGTTTAGTTTACTGAACACTGAAGCCTCATTCAAAAGCTGCACAAGACAAAGCTGTTTGTAACTAATTAAATGAGTGCAGTCTGTCCTTATGTCCAACCGGTTTTTTATTTTTTTTAACCTGTAGTAAATTCTGTATATTATTGATTTAGATAACTACCAGATTATTACATTGTTAAGATTTTTAATACCAATTTTGTTGCA